CCCAGCGCCCAGGGCCACGAGGCGCCCCAGGGCACGCAGCACCCAGAAGACCCCAAAACCAACAGCACGAGGAGCCTGCGGGTTTGCTCTCCATGCCCAGGTGGGTGCGATGGCTGGGTGGGCACCGCATGCATCCCTGCAGCACCGCCACCCCCTCCCCAGCACCCAGCTCCCGGGGTCATCATCCCAGGGCGCCGGCCGGTGCGCAGGCTCAGAAGTAGACGGCGCTCTCGCGGGCGTCGCGGTCATACTCCTGGATCCGCGCCTTGATGTGCGTCAGCTTCTTCTTCAGGTATTCGCAGCGCTGCTGCTTTTCCAGGAAGGCCGAATCCTGCCGGCCGGCCGGTGCTCAGCCAGGAGGAACCCTGCCCCGACACCGGGATCCCACAGCACCCTGGGGACCCCCCCCCACGCACTGGGGAAGGGGGAGAGGCACCGTGGGGAGGCCGTGGGCTCGCAGCTCCCCGGCTCCCCAACACGGGGAGCAGATCCTGAGCCCTTCCCTTTCTCACCCTCTTCTTCCTCACATACTCGTGCCAGACATGGGCCACCCTACTCCCATCCTGCAGCGCAGAAGGACATGTCCCGGAGCCCTGGGGGCTCAGCCTGGCCGAGCAGGGCCCTAACGAGGCAGCTGGAGCTAACGAGCCCCGGGGGCTCGGGGGCAGCCAGCCTTCCCGCAGTGCCATGCAGCGAAAACCTTGCCCAGGGCATAGCCGAGAGATGCCACCGCTCCTTAGTTTTCCAGCAGCTGCCGGGTGCCTTCGAGCACGGCTCATGCCTCTCAGCTGCAGGAGCCCGGGTGTCCACGTGTCCCCCTGGTCCCCCCCCACCCAGCGCAGGCCCCCAGGCTCATCCTGAGTCCCCACAGAGACCGGCCAACTCATCACACCCAACACTGCTCGCAAAACACAGTGCCCGCAGCCGGTGCCCACCAAGGGACCCACCGTCCTCCTCGTGGCATGCCGGGGCAGCTGGCCCATCGCTGCCTCCAGCTCCCCGAGCCTCCGCCGCGCGGCACGGACCTCCCCGAGCAGCTCCGTGTATTCTGCCAGCTGGTCCTGGAAGACGCCCTTGTACCCCTCCCGCTGCTGGGGGCTCCGGATCGCCGGGTACTTTCTGCACCGCTGGGGCCCCGGGGCGCCGGGTACTTTCTCACCCGCCATGAGGCCAGGAGGCTCAGGGTGGAAGAGCCCGGGCGCTGCCCGCACACCCAGACAGGCAGGGGCAGGTCCGTTACACCCCGTCCTGTGGTTGTCCCCATGGGAGTCACTTACACCACGTAGTCTGGGACAGTGCGTGGCCGGGGCACCAGCCCGGGGGGGACAGACCCAGCCCCCAGCTTCTCCCCCTCCTCGGTGGGGGGGACCCTCCTCGAGGGTCTCCCCAGCGGCACCACCTCGTCCTCGAACGCGACGTGCTTGGCTCGGGCTGGCGGAGGCTTCAGGACACAAGGGAGGGGCGTGTGGCTGCGTGGCCACCGTACTGTACCGGGGGCTACAGAGGGGGCCACCCGGGGCTGTCCCCGCTCCTGG